ACCTATTCAAGGAACCCCAAGAAAAGGCCGCAAGTGGTGGAAAAGGACTCATCGATCCTTGACTATGTAATCGTCCAGAACAGCGCACTTTATGCCGTCAGTGGCTTTAACCTTATCGACACGCACGCAGAGGTGGAGACCTTGACAACGACGATGATGATAAGCGACCACCGACCCCTCGAGTTTATCCTGAACCTCTCTTCTTTAGCCCAGTAACCATTTTTTTATTCAACAATTATCTTTTTATCACTATAAAGCAATCAGTGCAAAAAAAGGAACTTGGCGGCAATGGTCAGCTTATTTCCGCTCTACAGCGATACTTTGCTTAAAACCTCGTCTTTTTCTACTACTTGTTTAGCAGAGGGGGGTGAGGGGCAATCAGAAAAGGCTTTTCGGCGATGGTGATGGCAGCCCGCCTCTTTCTTCACTCGCTCCATTTTCTTTTTTTTTTGTACTCTTATTTTGTCCCCCCCCCTCGATTATTTTCTCCGCCCTTCGCGCCCTATGCAAAACGCCCAGAGTAAAAACCCAAGTAGCACTTTGTTTGACTCTGGCGTGGAGACTGGCTGGCTGTTAGCTGCGAGGAGCTCACAGATGTACGCCGCCGAGTTCTTGGCCTTCATAAGTCGATAGAAGTACACCTTGAATTGCTCGTTTTGCTCACTCGAGTGGGCCCTAGCATACATACGCCGACACTCCAGGTTAGCCGCAACTCGGGTAGAGACTGCAGCTCGCACCTCTGCCAACTCACACAAACAAGACTCTTGTCTGAGCCCTCGCTCTAAAATGCGCATCTTTTTAGAGCTGGCGTCCACTACTAGGTCAACTTCAAATTCGCATCTGAAACTATTCAATTTGTTGCGATTGGGCAGGGAGACGTGGATGTACACTCAGATACATCCAGTCTCATCTCCTTTACAAGCGCAGATTTGTACGGGTTCTCATCAGAGGACTTGCAGCCTTTGATAGGGTTTAGGGTTTATTTATTGAGGGTATACTGAGGAGTATATAAGGCAGGGTAGCGACTAGCGCGCCCTGCTGAATATGCTCATCAGCTTGAAATAATATTTCCATTTCACATATTTACTCCCAAATCACAACAAATTTGAAGTAATGTAAAATAAAATGTATTTTTAAAGCGATGAAGTCGTTGTATTGGAGCCCTGTATGGACACGGGCTATGATCGTTGACTCTGAGAGCACCTCAGGGCCTTAGCTAATTCTACAAAATAAATAAATCTATCTAATAGTGTCGCCTCAACCACATGCGCGAGGCTTGCACCTCCGGAACCTTAAGAGTGTTTTGTGCTGACGGACCATAGTCCCCTGCCGGGTACTTGGCTCCTAACACCGCGACTCCAGTCGCCTGCGAGTAGTCTGCACAGCTCCGCGTACTCGCTTCTTTTCTTTGCCGCTCTTTCCACTGGGAATTTCGGTGTACCATCCGCACGCTTAACCCCTGATGTCGGCGGTCGTTGCTCCCGCATTGCTTGTCGGCGTCTCTTTGCTCGCACCTCCGACGCCTCCTCCTTTCTGATCTGGGCGTCGTTCCGCGGGAGCCAGTGTTCCTCGTACTCCTTCTGCCAGCGAGTGCAGATCGCGGCTTTCCTTACTAGGCGGGACCATCGGGTGACTGACTTCAGCTCGTCTTTGTTTGCCATTGCCTGCGCGATCCACGAGCGCCCTTCTGTCCCGTATTGGCACATCTCTGCAGCTATCGCCGTGGCCGACCCAAGCACCCAGGATCGAGGTATTCCGATGTACGGGGATCTCTCGCCAGCCGCTGTCAATATCCACTTGTCTATTGGCCCGCGCCCCCCCCCCTGCTTTCTTCTGGTACTGCCCTGTGTTCTGTCGCAGTGCTCCCTGCCTCCCCGTTTGCCGGTATGACTTCCAGCCGTAGGCGTTGGACTAGTACCCATCGGTCTTGCCTTGGGCGCAGTGCCGCCGAGTTGCTCTGTGGCTGACTTGGCGACGTCGTTTGGCTCTCTCGCCCCTCTGCACGCCTCTCTCCTATAACGTCTTCTTCTAGTGCAGCATCCGGCCCCCGTTGGAGTCGGCCTTCCTCGCACTCAAAGAAATGTGCTTGCGTCTCTGTATGGCGGTGGCAGCATGGGCATTTGCTCCATTCAAAAAATGTATTTTTAAAGTGCACATTCAACGCTAGTCGGTGGGTTGGCATCAAAGCATTGCAAGCTGCGAGAACAAAAAGTGCATTCGATCACAAAAAGCCGCACCCAACTTAATCATTACCGCATCAAAAAAGATGAAATACAAAAAAGGAATTTCCCCAGCCGGGAATCGAACCCGGGCCGTCTCGGTGAAAGCGAGAAATCAATGACCACTAGACCACTAGGGAGGCTGTTTTGGACTAGTTGTCCAACTTCTTCATATTTGGCACTGACATCCAGAGTATAT